TTTTTATTCCTATGTGATTATACATTCCACTTCATATAGGGATTGAAGCCGTGCAATACGCCGGGGTCCTACAGCGGAGAACAGCCCCTGTGCCACAGGAGGCAACCTCAGAGGAGCCACCAAAGCACCCTGGGTGCTGGAGGAAGGGTTCCTGGCCTCAGCCCAGGATCTGTCCTGCATCTTGGGCTCCCCAGGCCTTGCAGGGGGCATGTGAGGGATGCCAAGCTGCTTTGGGGTGAGGCCAGCACAAGCCCACCTCTTGCACTCCATCCCATTGCAAGGGTGGGCCTCATTCTGCACTGGTGACTGTGCTGGTGGGCTCAGCCTGAGGATGAGGAGGTCCCCCAGTCTTGTTTTTGCCCCCTTACTGTCCCAGGAGATGGGTGACAGCCTCCTGGTGAGGGAGGGCACTGGAAGGAAGTTCTGCTGGCAGGTCAGGAAAAAAGGAGGAGGAAGGACCTGGAGAATGGCCACGTCAGCAAGGGCTGCCCCAAGCATGATGCTCTTCAAAGTTTCTCAAGAGGCTTCAGCTGCTCTTTCAAGGTTTGTGTTAAATCTGTCACATTAGCGAAAATAGTGAAAATTACTTGGCTTGTGGAGATGAAAGGCAGCCCCTTCCATCCCTCCATAAAGGAAGGGCCCCATTAACACCTAGTGAAATATTAGCCATTAATCAGGCTCTGTGCAAAATAAAACCATCCACATTTATCATTATTGGATCCTTAATGAAGTGATAATGGGAATGCTGGGGAGCTGTGATATTAATGTCTCCTAAGAGGCAAGAGTAGAGCCGAGGGCAGCAGCCAAGGTTTTTAATTTACTGCCAAAAGCTCGTGCTGTTAATAAGGCAGTTACTTCTGGCCATTAGCTCAGTTTGGCTACGAGCAGCATGCCCAGGAGAGCACACTGATCCCAAGCACACCCGGGCTCTCCTTGTCTGCTCCCTGCCCAGTGGCTGGGTGTGCCTTTTCCAACAGCTGTCCCTGTGTCCTCTGCCCACGTACAAGGATGTGTCCAGAGAGCTGTTGGCCATCTCCAACCATCTCCCTCCTTCCTGGAAGCTGGCTGGTATAGAACGAGTTTTGCTTTTCTGTTGAAAATGGCAGGATCTGAGAGCACCAAAACCAAGCAGCTCTTGTTCCTTGCTCTTTCAGTGACTTGTCTCCTCAGGCACAAGCGCTGAAGAGCCATGATGGTGTGGAGCTGGTTCCAGTAGGGCCCACACACTGGGATCACTCAATGCAACCACAGTCCCACTCTGGGTTTCTTCATTTGCCTGGGTATGTTCCTGTCCAGGACAGCATGGGTGAGCTGCAAAGCCCTGCTCAGCTGTGGTTACTCACTCAGGTTCCCAATAGGAAGGTTGTTGCTCCTGGCCAGCTCCAGCAGCCTAGAGGCACATCAGTACTTGGCAGGTAAGCAATGCTGTTGCATCTTTAGATGCAAGTGTTAACTCCCACATCCTTGCAAAACCTGACCATTGTGGCCCAAATGGATGCTGGCTCATCTGTGGAGCCTTCTGCTACCAGTGCAGAGGCTGCAGATCAGAGAGAGCTGGCTTTGGGCTGGAGCAGTAACGGGTGATTCTGTGCTGGGCATTGTGCAGAGGCATAAAACTATGTCCTGTTTGTAATGGATGCACATGCTCCAAAGCTGCTTTCTTCCCTGGGTGGATGCACAAAGTCCACCCAAGCAAGCCATCAGGAATGGAGCTTCAATCTATGCAGCTAGAAGCATCAGAAAAGTGTTTTTGTAACCTGGGTGTCCTTGGTCAACCTCACCCTGTCCTGTTTTCCCTTCATTGGAAAAGAAGGGATAACAAAAACCATACATGAAGGTCAAGCAAATGTAGATGTGAAGTGTGCTTCAGAGAGCTCCATCCTTTCAACAAACCTTTTATCGACCTCTTCTCCTTCCCAACACACAGACTCTTTTTAATGGTTAGTGAAAAGCTGCTGTTTAAAAAGCAAGGCCACTGCTCAGGGAATGTGGTAGGCATTTCCCAGAAGCAGCCAGCAAGCCCTAGCCCAAGGTCTTCTCAACTTGACTCCAGCACAGCAGCAGCTCCAGGGACAAGCATGGTGCTCAGCAGTGTGGCAGGGCTGTGGACAGACTGCTGGATTACAGTGGCCTGTGACCATGTGCCCAGGCTGGCAGACCAAACCTGCTGCTGAAGATGCCAGTGATGCTTCTGCCAGACACCCCTGCCCAAAACCAGAGTCACTCTGGATTTCACTGGAGCAGAATTGGACAGGAAGCACTAACAGCATTTTGAAGCTAGATTTAGCCAGTTATCCTGGCTGCAGCCCATGGGTTTTGGCTGTATCATTGCTTGTGTTAGTGCCCCCATGGTGTTGGCAGGCTGGGCACGCAGCAACAGCCAAATGCTCTGAAACCAACCAGCGACCTCTGGAGAAAAACACCGGTTACAAAGCAGCTCCTCCTGCAGCAGGGGCACAGTGAGCTTTGTAAAGCTTGGCAGGTTCCTCCCAGCAGATCTCCAAGCCCTTTGCCAGTGTAAGCAAGTTCAGGCATGTTACAGAAGACCTTAAGGCTTGGAGGGCAAATGAGATGCGTGGATGAGTTTAAACCATGGGGATCAGACCAGGGTTTTGAAATCCCCAGGCTTGTGTCTTGACACCACGCTTGGGCTGTGGCCCAGGCAGCCCTGCTGCCAGCCTGGCATTGATGCTGGGCCCTGTGATGCTCCTGCTGACATTCTTGCTTGGCAGATACTGGCTTCAAAATAAAAGCAGGAGGTGTCACATCCTCCTCAAAAATCTGCCCTCTTATCCATCTTGGAGCAGGGTGCAAAATGACTATTTGGTGTGACACCATGACTCGTGGTGTTGGGAGGATGGTATATTTATGTCACAAGATGAGATCAGCCACATGGAGTAGGTTGGTCTGTCTAGAAAGAGTCTGAGTCAAGCGTGTCCTGTTAAATTAGGGCTGGATTATCAAAGGAGCTCAGCTCCCACTTAGGCTCTGTAACAAACAGGTAGATAGTCAAAATGAGCCGGATGTGTTGGGTCATACTGGCTGCTGAGCTGCTTCTTTGAATATCCAGCCAAAACTGTCACACTGCCTGTTGCTACAGGTGGAGCCCTTCTGAAATTCAGCTCCACATCCTGGAAAACCTAGCTTGTCTTTGCTTTCCCACATATTGCACTGCAGTAGGTGATGAAACCACAACCACTGCATCCTCATGCATGTGGGGGAAGGCTCCCTGTCAAAGCCCAGCTCTGGCAGCTTTGCCCTTTGATCAGCAGCATGGGTCAGGAGAGCTGAGCAGGAAGGTTTCCTTGCCTTTTGTTCTTTGGAATTAGCAGAGTTAATCAGAGTGACAGTGACTTCTGCCTCAGTGCAAAAAGGTCAGAGGCTCAGGCTGGATGCATGACTGTTTTCTGGGCAGTTGGAAAACACCACCATGAAAGGTTATAGCTGCTGGCATGGAGGCTCTTCCAACAGGGATCAGCGGGGAAGATGTCCTTGCAGAGGGAAGGAGGCTGGAGAAGGACTATACACATCTAGTTTGCCACTGTACCTTAGTCATCCCTTCCTGATGCTGCATGGTGAAGGTACACCACCCTCTGTGTCACTGTCACTGTGCACTGGTTTTGTCACATGTCCAAGATGAAATGCTGCTCTCGGCCAGTGTGCTTCTTAGCTGCACTGCTGGGTGTGTGTCATGCTGGGCTCTGGGTCTGTCACTTCAGGCACCTGGGCGTGGGAGGGGCTGCAGGGCACTGCACTGGTAGTGCTGGGTGTCCCCACCATGTTACTCCAGCACCTCTATGCCTCCAGCTGGGCAGGCCTGGCTATTACTTTTACATCCTTCAGTCTCTGTGATGCACTTCTGTGAACCTGAAAAAGCCCCCTGATGAGCTGCTCTTGAGCTGGGGGCACTGCAGGAGCAACAGCCACAGTGAGGGCTCTTCCTGGCAGCTGTACCATTGCCTTGCTTTCCCCACATCTTTGAACTACAGTTGAAACAGTCACAGGAGTGGCAGCTCTCAGCAGAAGTGTTAAATCCAGCCTCTGTGTCCGAAATGTGACCTCTTACCTTCCTCTGATCCCAATTACAAGCACTTGCTTCTGCTGTGGACATCCACTCATGTCTAATTAGCGGAGTCTTTCTGTCAAAGATATTAGTACTCTTGACAAGGAGCCTTAATTTAAATAGTTTACATTTGTCTGCAGTGTTGATGCCTTCATTTCCCCCCAGTCCTAATGGAATGCACCTGGATGTCTGCAGAGGGAGCTCTCATGATCTCTCAATGGCTCTAATTAAAATGGCCTGGATGTCCATGACATTGGTGCCCGTCAAGCCTGTCACCAGGAGGTGACGGCCACCTTGGAACTGGCTGAAGAACGTGTAGGAATCATTGTTGCTGAGAAAGGCCTCCACGTTGAGGCCCTCCTGCAGAGCCTCCCCCACCAGCTCTGGGCTGCAGGAGGCTCCTGCTGCCTTGCAGGGCACTGCACTGGTAGTGCTGGGTGTCCCCACCATGTTACTCCAGCACCTCTATGCCTCCAGCTGGGCAGGCCTGGCTATTACTTTTACATCCTTCAGTCTCTGTGATGCACTTCTGTGAACCTGAAAAAGCCCCCTGATGAGCTGCTCTTGAGCTGGGGGCACTGCAGGAGCAACAGCCACAGTGAGGGCTCTTCCTGGCAGCTGTACCATTGCCTTGCTTTCCCCACATCTTTGAACTACAGTTGAAACAGTCACAGGAGTGGCAGCTCTCAGCAGAAGTGTTAAATCCAGCCTCTGTGTCCGAAATGTGACCTCTTACCTTCCTCTGATCCCAATTACAAGCACTTGCTTCTGCTGTGGACATCCACTCATGTCTAATTAGCGGAGTCTTTCTGTCAAAGATATTAGTACTCTTGACAAGGAGCCTTAATTTAAATAGTTTACATTTGTCTGCAGTGTTGATGCCTTCATTTCCCCCCAGTCCTAATGGAATGCACCTGGATGTCTGCAGAGGGAGCTCTCATGATCTCTCAATAGCTCTAATTAAAATGGCCTGGATGTCCATGACATTGGTGCCCGTCAAGCCTGTCACCAGGAGGTGACGGCCACCTTGGAACTGGCTGAAGAACGTGTAGGAATCATTGTTGCTGAGAAAGGCCTCCACGTTGAGGCCCTCCTGCAGAGCCTCCCCCACCAGCTCTGGGCTGCAGGAGGCTCCCGCCGCCTCCGTCGGCCCATCCTGCCCATCCGTTCCCCCACTGAGGAAGATGATCTCACACCTCCCAGGGTGTCCACTGCCCACCGTGGCCTGTGCCCTGTGCAGCCCCAGCCCCACACGTAGGGCCAGCTCCTGGTTCCTCCCTCCCTTGCCAGTTCCTTGAAGCTGAACTGTGGTTTCTCCACCAGCCAGGATACAGACTGGTCTTTCAGGCCTTAATCTCTGCAGCGCCTGTAGAAACTCGGCAAGGTTCAAACCTGGGATCTCTAGCTCTGCCACCAGCTGCAGGAGATTCCCCCTCACCTCATCAGCCAGGGGCCCCTCTCCCAGGCCGGTGAGGCCCAGGCAGGCCAGCTGGATCAGCTGGCAGTACAGCGTGGCCACGCGCCCGACCTCCCCGCCGACGGCTGCGCTCAGGACCAGGGCTGCATAGCCCAGGCCCTCGGCCCGGCGCTGGGCCTCATCTAGAGCCAGCCTGTTGGACCCAATGATGATGTTGCAAACGTGGGAGTAGTCTTCTGGAGCAGCGGGCTTGCTGGGAGAGCTGGACAGGACTGTTTCCACTGACTTGGGCAAGTTGTGCAGCAGGTTGTATTTGGTGAGTATCTGAAGGCAGTCTTGGACCCCGTGGGAGCTGATGGCAGTGGGCCCGCTCGCTATGATGTCCAGGGGGTCACCAATCACATCAGAAAGGATGAGGCTCACCACCTACCAAGAGAAATGCTCACAGATCACTTTGGGAGGCAGAGACAGGTAACCACACAAGAGCCCTGGCATAAGTGCTGCTTTGAGTTACGCTTGTGCCACTCACATATCAAAGAAGATGGAAATGGGGGTGGATCTTGGTCCATTTTTGTTTTACAGTCCTGTGAGAGTCACCTTGCCGTTTAAAACCCACAGATCTACAATGTCTTTGATACTGGACCACTGCACTGGAAGATGTAACCTGTACCACTGCACTTTTCAGGCAATGGCACATACTGAGAACAGTCCCCAGGGAAGCCCTGAGTTGGAGCCACCCCCTAAAGCACTGCTGTGGAGCACCAGCCCATTGGAAGTGCCTGCTGGGAGAAGGCTGGGGTCTGCTGACTGCTGTGATAGAACAGCTGACATTTGCTAAGAATGAATTTCCCCTCTTCCATCTCTGCCTCCCTGAGGGGAGAGGGTGATCTCTGGGCAAGCAGAGGCTTTTCCTGTGCGTTACCTGTGCGGGGTATGCGAGCCGGGCCAGCCCTCCACCCTTCAGCAAGGACAGAGTCTTCCGGACAACATTCAGTTCCTGTATGGCAGCTCCTCGGGAAGCCAGCATCTTTGTGAGTTTCTCCTTCTCTTGGAGGAGGATGGGAGGGATGGGAGCAGGCAGGAGGGCCGATCCACCCCCTAGGACGCAGAAGAGACAGGAGGAAACCGAGGCTGTCCAGTGCTTGAGCAGGAGCAGCCTTTCCTCCTACCTCACCAGTGTATAGAGGGAAGGCAGAGGTCACTGGAGGGGGAACTATACTAACATCTCTGGAGAATTTGTCTTCACCAATAGGCTTTCCTCAGTGCTGCCCTGCATTGTCTGCAGTCAGCTGCACTTCACCCAGGCAGCATAAACCTCACCAGACCAGGGTGTTGCAGGGATGACAGAGAAGGGCTGGCAATGACTGTCCCTGCTACATCAGGCTGTGAGCGTGTTGTCACACTGATTTTAAGGGTAGCCTGGATGTGGGGGAGCACAGCCTCCATGACTGGCACAGCAGTTGGTGCTGAGCAGATGGAGACAGTGCTTGCTTTGCTGGCTCCACTTATTCAGGACAGTGTGTAAAAACACCAGCTACGCCTGCAGCAAGATAAGAAAGTGCTGAACTGCACTCCTCTAGTCCTGCAGGAAAGGAACGGGGAAGAGAGAAACAGAAAAGGAAACAGAGCACACTGGGAGTCCAGGGTGACAGCCTCATTGATGGGAATCCTGTTTGATACAAGTGAGCACTGGAAATGCAGAAAAGGAGGCAAGTAAAAAGGTTCTAATGGAATTGTGGAATGGATGGAAAAAACGAGTAGAAAGATCTGAGAGAACATGTAAAGAAGTACAGCTGAAACCTACTGTCAAAAGGCAAAGCTGTCTCAGAGGTTTGAGACAAATCAGCATCAATAAAACATGATGAGCAAGAAAAACAAATGCAAACGCCTGTTTCAGTCAATAGCCAGGGATCTAGCTGAGAGGCAGGAGCAGTCAGGGACCGGCTGCTGTGTGGGAGTGTGTGTGCATGGGGAGCTGCAGCCCTGGGGAGATCCTGTACAGGCTCCCTGCAGGGCTGAGGAGTCTCTTGGAGATCCCCATAGCCAAAGGACAGGAGGAAGCCCAGGGGAATCCCTGGGAAGCACAGCTAGATACCAGTCACTTGGGTGTTTGCCTAGTGGCACTATTTTTCTCTGCACCAGCTTGGGTTGTGGCATCCACAGAGGAACCAGAGGGAAAATCACTCAGCAGAGGAGACCAGTGGGTTTACAGAGCTGCTCTGAGCCCCTGTATGCTTTTGCCCTGTGACACCCACTCACTCAGCTGAGATCAGGCCAGAGTGATGTCACTGCATCCCTCTGATGCACAATATCCACCTTCCTTACACAGCCCTGGCTCTGGGGAGAGCCTGGAGGTCCAGCAGACAGGGTCTGGGGGTGTTCAGGGCTGACCCTGCAAGGCATGCAGCTCACTGCATCAGAACCTGAGGGCCTCATTTCTACTGGCTGGGACACAGCAAAGCCTTGGGAAGGATCAGTCCCAAATCTTAGCTCACAGATTTACAAGCCTGCATGAATTCAGAGCATGCAAGTCCCCCAGGTGCTTGCTTCTCCAAGTCTGCATCCCCAAATACAAGGAGAGGACAGGAAGAAAGCATCATCTTGGTAAGGGGTGAAAGCAGCTAGTAGGCTGTGCCCAGACGTGTCATCTCACAGTGGTGGCACAACTACAGGGACCAGACTGCACAGCTCAGTCTCTCTTCTCTCACAGACTCTCAGTCTCATCCCAGAGGTATGTCAGTGCTGACAGGGCCAGCAGAACACAGTGATTCTCTGCTGTACAGCCACATGTGGGCAGGCAGCTGGAGGGCCCTGAGCAGAGTCCATTCCCTGGATTCCCCATGATACCTGAGATGAGCACAAGGAGCAGGTCTTCTGCAGTCAGGCCCTCAGCCAGCTCTTGGATGGCAACTGCTCCCTTCAGAGCCTCTGCGTCTGGGAGATTGTTCTTGGCACCTTCAATGACCTGGATTTTGCTGTGTGGCTTCAGGAGCATCTCCCTGGTGAGGTAAGAGAGGTATCACACCACTGACACGTGCACCAACCCAGGTAGCCAGGCTGTCACTCAGCAGGGAATTGGGCCTGGTGCATGGTGAGTGATGGGGACAGGGAGGTGGCCTTTGCTGAGTCTTTTCCCTAGGGCGAGAGGCAGCACATCCAGTGCAAGTGTTGGGCTCTGTCACTAATGCCACTGGGTCATGTTGAACCCCAGGGCAATGTGGTGGATGGGATGGGCACCAGAGCGAGGGCAGCTGGAAAGAACTGAAGGGATTCACACCAGCATCCCACAGAGGACAAATCTGGCAGCCTGTCCCTCCACAAACTGTCCAGACAATAGCCCCCTCTTACTGCAATCCTACTCGCTGCAGGCTCTCCTGGATGCCTAGCGGCACATTGATGATTCCCCGAACAAGATGGTCTCCCAGGATCTCTTCTGCTGCCGCGGCCATTCCCAGCACAGCTTTGCCAAAACCCACCAGGTACAGGTCCCTCTTCACTGGAAAGGCCTGGCCCTTCACCAGCAGCTGAGGGCATCTGCCTCCCTGGAGCTTCACAGCACTCTTCAGCATGGGAGCTGGCCGGACAGTGCCCACGGCGCTGCGGAAGAGGTACAGTGCGTGCTCATGGAGGGACATGCTGCCCAGGGCAGTGGGGTGGGCTTGTACACACTCTGCTGACACTGGCAAGGCCTTGAGAGCTGGGACACTTCCACCCTCCAACCTGCAAGGGAAGGTGAACACTAGCAGAAGAGACAGAACTGTCACAGGGAGAGCAGGGAGGCAATAACATGAGCCATGGAGCTCTAGTTCATGTTTCCTCTAGATGAAGGTGACACACCAGCAGTGTTTTCAAACCTCTCCCTAGGCAGGTGGGAAGGCAGGACAGTGCCACATTCAAACTACCTGCTAGCTTGTGGTCCCCCTGCAATCCCATCACCTCCTGCAGGGAAGGTGAGCCCTGCCAGCCATGTTCTTTTTCACTGTAGGTTTGCTACTGGCAAGCCATCATTTCTATTTGCACAGTGTTTGACACCTTTCCAGACTGTAGAAGCTGCTCTCTGTCCTGGAGAGAGCAGGGCATCTGAGGGGAACAGCTTTTCACTGTGCTAACTCCCTTTCTCAGGCCAGCCAAATGCTGATCTCATTCTCTGGCTGCACATTGCCCCACGTGTCCCTGCAGCATCACACATGAGCTTTGGAGAAAAAACAGACTTGCTGGCTGCCTGATTCCTTTCTGCTGGTGGCCACAGGGAGACCAGTAATGAGGCTCCCCCACCAAACAGCAAATTAACACAAAGCTTCATTCGCCTTTATTTTTTAGTCCTCTCATTATCCATTAAAATCACATTTAGAGCCCAAATAGGAGTTCAGATCCAGGCCAAGTTGCCATGTCTGTGAATTCCCATTTGAGTTAGTCTCTACTGAATATTAGCATTATATACAACAAAGATGAGTGTGGACCATAGGATCTCAACTGCTCAAGGGCAGATGCTTGTTGTGACAGAGGAAATGCAGCCCCTGCCAGCATGCACACATCTACTCCCTTCCAACATTTCTCTTTCTCTCCATTAACTGGCAGCAAGTTCCACTGCTGGTTTCCCAGGATCAAAGATCTGTGTGATCTGCATCTCTCCTGCTCACGGCAATTATGATGTAGGCAATTAAGGCAGAGTGCCAGAAGACTGAGGCAGCCCAGGCAACACACTTGATCACAGACCCATTCAAATTACCTGAGAGAGTTAATTCTCTCTCTAGTAAATGGATGTGTTTTGGTGCAAGGCCAGTGGCTGGCTTCTTCTGGGAGAGCTCATGAGTCCAGAGGTCTCTTTGTCCTAACACTCCCAGAGCATTGCAAAGTGTTAATCATTAAGCCAGACAAGCTCTCCAGCAGCTCCTCTGGGTCTACATCTGCCTTGTTTTCCTGCAAGGACCCAAAAGCTCTGTGAAAACCTCCACACAAGGACCTTCTCAGGAAATGAAAGTTGGGCACACTCTGAAATCTATTGGTCAAGGGACTTGCATATAAAACTATCTAGAGAGTCACAGGTTTGCCAAAGAAAAAAAATGGCTCAGTGCTTAAGAGAAACAGAATTCAAAGGCAGAACACAGGGCAGTTAAACTACTTATCTACACTACCTTTAGATACTGGTCAGGACTGGCTTTTCAAGCACGAGGAGAGATAGAAGACAGGGTGTCCTGACCACTTTGTTACTCAACTCCCGAACTTCATGGCAGCTGGTGCTGCCACCAGGCCTCAACCGTCGTAAAATGAGGGCCAGAGTAACCCTGCTAACACGAGTGAAATCAGCTGTACACCTCAGGAACTGAGATAAGCATCTCTGTTCCCAGTTCCCAGCAAGTCTCCCATTCACCTGGCAGCACAGGGCAATGAGAGGAAGGTGTTACAAAACAGAGGTGCATCATGTCCCAGGTCACCTCATCTGAGCCACACAGAGTCTGCAGAAGTAGTTGGAAAAAAAGGCTTAAATGGAGCCAGAGGAGTTCAAGAAACTTAAGCCCCACAGCTTTTAACAGGCTCTGCCTTGATGTTTCTGTGCATGGCTGACCCTGAAGACCTGGAGAATTGAGCATAACCAGACCTGCAACTGTGGATCCTGTCACATGTGCCCTCCTGGTGGCTCCACTCAGCTCCAGCTCCAGACACGACACAGCAGGCAGGAGTTGTTTAAAAGCAGTCCTCTCCTACTGGAGCTGAAAGAAAATAGATGCCAGCTTCATTCATCTAGCACTTGTGTACATACTGCTAATGCTTGCTCTGGAAAGCACTTCCCTACAATAGCAGGCATGTAATCTATTTTCTGCACTCTGAACTCAGATTATATTTTAACCATTGAGGCCTGATCCAGAGCCTGTTGGAGTCAGCACGTGTCTTTCCATTCCTTCAAGGGATTTGAGGGCACACTGCCTGACACTGATCTCAGAACTCAGGTGTAAATGCAGAGTAAATCTGGTGTAAAACCCCCTTGCAGGCAGAGGTTATCCAACTTTACATCAATGCAAAAGAGAGCTGAATTTGGCCCAGCCCCATGAGCTCAGGAGGTCTCAGTGTGTAACTCTGCTTCTTGTCAGCTCTGATTAGACATGCAGGCTCACTGGAGGCCCCCCTTGGAATGGGGGTGCTGCTAATGATGCCACAAATCCATTTTTATGTAATTTATTTATACAGTCTGAGGCACCGGGTACTAAATGTCATCAGGGAACGGCTGTAAATCAGTGCTATGAAATCCACTGCAGGTATTAGAAAAAATAATAAAACTCCTACTCATTTTACTAAGGCTTTAAAAAGAAGGTAAGAGAACTGAACATGACCCCACACCAAGGCATAGGCAGCCTTGGAAAGCAAAATAACCCAAATGGCAGCTCTCAGACTCCATCCACGGATGGTGGGTCTAGAAAGAATGTAATTGCCAGTTAGCTGCTGAGCATTGCACGTGGGGAAATGACATCCTCTCATCCCTGCATTTTCTTCTTCCCACTGTGGGCTGGGAGGAACCTTGGCTGGGGATGAACAAGCTCTCTTCTGCATGGATACAAGGTGACATGCTGTAGGCACTAGTGGGGCTCAGGTTTCACACCTTCCCTTTGTCCCTGCAGGAGATAATTTGGAGTTGGTGTATAGAAAGTCCTTTGGAAAAATTTCTAGAAGTTTGCACTAAGCTTAGGAGAGGAATTATGCTAAGAATTGCCTGTTCCCAAGAAAGCAGGACTGTAAGGGATTTAGATTAATCCCCTTTAAATGAAAACTTCCTCAGCTTTCATTGATGAATAACGTTCACCATCTACATACTTGTCTGCGTGCATTACCATTATAAGCTCCTTCTTCATAGGGCTCCTCCTAAGCCTGCAGAAATTTCCTCTGTTAACTCTCACAACAAAAAGCAGCAAAACCACAGCTCCTCGTTTTCACCATCTCTGGGAAAAGAGGGAGGGAGAGGAGCTGGACTGTGATCAAATACAGGCAAAGAGCTCGTTTGCATTACCTTTCATTAACTTTTTAATAAAAGCAATCCTGCAGGCAAGGAGCCAAAGTCAGAGGGAGACAGAAACAATCCAGCACCAGGGGCAGAAATGTGGTAAGCTGCCAGGTAAATTGGATGGTGGCACGAGACCAAAAGCAGGGACACAGGGGGCACAGTCTCAGCCACAAATTTGGAGTCACACTGGGGAGGAAAACAGTGACCAAATGAGCTGGCCATGCCTGTGCAGTGAGAAAAATGAGCCAGCATCTCTCTCCCTTGCAGGTACTTGAAAGCCAGAAAAATACTCCCTTCTAGGGGCCAGTCTGCCATCACTGGGGAGCCTGGAGCTATTCCAGGTACTGTGTCTGAAAGTTTGTTCAAGGGTTTGTATCACAGGATTGTGGTTGTCTTCAAGTTGGGACAATTGGACTTGTTGCAGGCCAACCCAGTCACACATCCCAAGTGTTTCAGGTGCTGCCAGATGGGAGGAGACTGTATGTTAATGCTCTGGGATGGCTAATTCAACTGAGGTGTTCAGGGGCCAAAATTAGTTTATTTTAATGTCATTGGGACATCTCTGGATTTCCCCCAGTCTGGCAGTGGTGGCTGGTCCACTGTGTCCAGGGTCAACTCCAGAATGCCGGAGAGGCTTAGAAACAATTGGAGATGGCACTGGATCAAACCCCCAGTTGTTCTAGGATAATTTTGAGCTCAAGCTCCAAAAGATGGATTACGTCTTTGTTACACCAGTAAACTATCAGACACAGCAAGTCCTAACAGGGTCTCCTGCTACTTGTTTTTCTCGCTACATGACTTTCTTCTGGCCTCCTGGTACATAAATTACCGTTAGACTCACCAAGGCTTCCTTCCATTTTTCATGCATTACCTTGGGAGTTTACCTATGAAGTACAACAGAGCAGAGATTTTACTGCCCTAAACTCCCATGTTTCCACTTACTGACACATCTCTTCTATCATCTGATATATCAACTTTAATTTGCTTGGTGAGCCCTGCTCAAACTCAAACTTGCTGCTCCAGATGGTCCCAAAAGCATTATGAGAAAATTTTCCAGGAGATGCACTGAACCCAGGAGCAAAACAAAGCAGTGAAGGTTTGTTCCAAGTGACTATTCTGGGAGGATTAGAAGGAGGATTTTTCAAGACTAATCTCTTCAAATGAAAATTTCAGAATTTGATTAATTTTTTAATCTGCACATGGATTTGCATAAAATTACTGCACTGCCTCATTTACATGCTGTAAAACAGAAAATGTCTGCAGCCTGGATGGAGGAACTCATCACTAGTCGGCTCTGAAGGGTCCAGAACACAAGTGGGTGTGTAGGGACAGGGGGAAATGTCCTTCTGCCCCTGCTCACCCTGGTGCTCCCGCATCCATAACTGGGAAAGAGGATGATGGTGGACAGAAGCAATACAATGAGACCAGAGGGTTTTCCAGGCAGGCAAGGGAGAAAGTAGGATGGAGTCTGAATACCTTTGTTTCAAGAATATGCTGAGCTCTGGGAAATCCAGGAATCCTAATTTCCAAGACATGGCTTTCTGTATGTTTCTTGGAAAAGAAATATGTTGCTCTCATGACTGATTTACTCACCAGGAAAGTGTCAACAGGGTCTCTTTGCCTTTGATGAGGAGTGTAGCC